ACTATGACACCAATAACACAAACAACAAAAGCTAAATCAACAAATGGGACCATGAAACTCAAAAGCTTCTGCACAGCAAAAGAAACAAAATGAAGGCAACCTACAAAATGGGAGAAAATTTTTGCAAACCATATACGTATCCGATAAAAGGTTGGTATCCAAAGAACCTTATAAAATTCAATAACAAAAACAAACAGAGTTAAAATGGGCAAAGGAAATAGACATTTTTTCCAAAGACAAAATCCAAATAGGCAGCAGGTACATGAAAGAGGCTCAACATCACTAATTATTAGGTGTTGTATTGTTCAGTTGCTCAGTTGTGTCTGACTCTTTATGACCCCATGGACTGCAGACCCTAGGCTTCCCTATCCATCACCAACTCCTGGAGTTTACTCAAACTCATGCCCATCAAGTCAGTGATGCCATCCAGCCATCTCATCCTCTGTCGTCCCCTTCTCCTCCTGCCCCCAATCCCTCCCAGCATCAGGGTCTTTTCCAATGAGTCAACTCTTCGCATGAGGTGGCCAAAGTATTGGAGTTTCAGCTTCAGCATCAGTCCTTCCAATGAACATGCAGCACTGATCTCCTTTAGGATGGACTGGTTGGATCTCCTTGCAGTCCCAGGGACTCTCAAGAGTCTTCTCCAACACCACAGTTCAAAAGCATCAATTTTTAGGCTCTTAAGTTAGTAGAGGTAGATAAACCCTGTATGATTTCACCTGTGGAATCTAAAAAAGCCAGCCTCATAGGAACTTAGAATAAAATGATGGTTATCAAAGGATGGTGGTGGGGGGAGATAGGAGATGGTGTTTAAGGTTACAAATTTACAGTGAGTAGTAAATAAGCCCTAGAAAGCTAATGCACAGTATAGTGAATATAAATAATATTTTATTATAAGCAAACCTAGAGACTAGAATTTAATTATTCCAATCAGTAAAAATGAAAGTTTAATTATATAACATGCTAGAGGTGGTAATTATCACTACAATGGCAATCATATTACTATACATAAATGCATCAAATTAACATGCTGTATACCTTAAATTTTGGTGAATTAAATGGCAACCCACTTCAGTATTCTTGCCTGGAGAACCCCTGGACAGAGGAGCCTGGCGGGTTACAGTCCCTGGAGTTGCAAAAGAATCAGACACGACTTAGCGACTAAGTGAGAAGTGAGGACACTCAAATCATGATATAAATATTACACACCCAAGGCCAAGACAGTCATTAGCTCAAGTTGTTCAGACTCCAAGTATTTTCCCTGCTGGGTAAACCAACAAGCCACAGAGATTCATTCAAATTATGAACTGGACCCCCAAATATTAAAACTAACATCAAAGATCAGCTGGTTAGGGTCAAGGGCTTATTGAATATCAACTCCTGCATTTTGGATGATGAAACCGGGCTATCTCAGACTTCAGAAATGTGGTGAGTTAGGTCTTTAGGACACCAGTGTTTGTCAGACAGAATCTGTTTCAAGGATTTGATTGCAAAATTTTGTCAAAAACCAGAATATAGTCCCTAGAGAATTATTAAATTCTGTTTATTCTAGAGTCACAGGAAAGCACATTTCAATGAAAAAAATATTAGTGTTAATAAAAATCAGATAACAAATGGCCCTTTGGAGACTCTGGCATGAACCATAAGAATCTACAGTATTTCTGCAACACATCAACTATTGAGACATCCTGCCTTATTTTAGTCACTGTCATTATGATTCCTCCACTTTTCTGTATTCTTAGACTGAAAGATAGCTATGAAAATTTTTCCAGCTAAAAACCCCAAACCAGTGAAATATAGAAATTGACTTGCAATTTATGTCAAGTTTGAAGGCTGTTGGGCAACAAAAAAGATAAAGCTGATAAAAGCAAGCATTGGAATGAAAGCAAAAATGAAAAGAAAGACATTTCCACACTCTCCACAGTCTCAAGAAATGAAAGCAGCTGAAATGAGAACAATTCTCCTTGCTTACCCTTCAGAGACAAAGCGGCAGGAAATTGTGAGATTCCTCCCAGAGCCCCACTTGCGAGGAAGCCCATTTAGCAAATGGTATGAGTTGTGGGATCTGTTGTTATTGGTTTTCTTCCCTGGGAACACAGCACATTGGGGATTCAGCTGTACCACAAAACAGGCTTCTAAACCCTCAGACTTGTCAAGCGCAGACTGAGAGCTACTCCTTATGGGTTTGCAAAGGGCCATAACTCTCCCTCTTGGCTCACTAATTCTTGGCACTATTGAATTGCTAGGAGGCAGCTTTTGAACCTATCAGGCAAGGTGTTCAGGGTTGTGGGCCACCATTAACTCAGCTCCTAACATCTGTTCTGTGATTCTGGTGCATGGGGAAACTGAAACTCTCAGAACAAAAGTGACAGGCAGGAACTCAGCCAGGAAGAATCTTCAGGCAGAGAAGCACCCGATACACTGCCTCCATCTTGCTATTTACCAAAATGAGGGCATTCTTTTCATTTTTGACAAAAGTCCCTCTAAACACCAAAAGGGAAAAAAAGAGACTCCAAATAACATACTATAAAAGAAGGATGAAGAAAACAATTTCCAAATGTATATATCTTAGGGGAGGTGGATTTTTTTACTGTGTGTAATATCTAGTATTTGTTGAGTGCCTGCTGTGTGCCAAGCACTGCTCTAATTAATTTACTTATATTCATTTATGTAATTCCCATAAGAAGCCTCAATAAATCAAATGGTAGATATCAGTCTTATCTCTGTTTTAGGGGCGAGAGAACTGATGTGTCACATATCTGAGGTCCCAGAACCAAAAGTAGCAGAGCTGTGACTTGACTCCACCTAGGCAGGTTCCAGCACTCAGATTTTTAGCCATTCGATCACAGCACCATTCTTGCTTACTAAAGCCTAGAAAGCCAAACAAAGTAATAAACATCAAATTCATATGTTTAAAAACCTCCTGACATTTGCATACTGGTAATTATTCCCACAGGAGTCTGTAATATCCAGTTTTCCCTTTTGGACTCCATACATGGACACACAGATCAACTAAAAGTTACAGAATGCAACTTTAGGCTCCTTCTCTCTCACAGACGTGGCATCACTATGCCCCAATAGCAGCAAGAATGCTCACTGTGCTTTCTAGACTTGGGTGAGAGTGAGAAGGAAGGGGTTCCCATGCTGCTGAAACAACCAATCTCCTGTTGATAAAAAGCTATTGGAGCTTGGAATTGTGCTCCAATTATGAAGGTTCTCCAGAAAAATAAAACCAATAGGAGATGTGTGTGCATATAAATATATATATGTACATATAGTTCATATATATGCATCCTATTGAAATACATATATACATTTGTGTGGAAATTAATTATGAGGAATCAACTTATGCAATGATGAAGGCTGTAAAGTCCCGCAATCTGCCTTGTGCAAGCTGGAGGAAAGTTGGTGATGTAGTTCTAGTACAAGTCCAAAGGCCCCCAAACCAGGGGAGCCAGTGGTGTACATTCCACTTCAAGCAAGGACAGGAAAAGGCTGATAGCCCCATTCAGTCAGGCAGGCAGAAAGCAAAAGGGGTCAACTCCTCATTCCTCCATTTGTTTGTTCCACTCAGGTCCTCAATAGATGGAGGATGCCCACCACACTGGGGAAGGCAAGCTACTTTATTGAGTCCACCAGTTCAAATACTATTCTCACCTAGAAACACCCTCACAGACACTCAGATGTAGTGTTTATTCCAAGCACCCTGTGGGACTTCCAAGATGGCACATGAAGTTAACCATCGCAACTGTTTTATCTTGTGTTAACACCATGCTTGACCTGGAGCAGACATTCAGTTACTATCTGATAAGTGAATAAATTCAGTCACATGTGTTTATGTTTCATGCGGATGTCATATATGATTATCCATGACCATATCACACACATGTATCTTTATTTTATTATGAAGAGGATTTTCAGTGATTGTAAGTTCACAGAAAACATAAACATTACACTTGGTAAAATGTCGAAATGGGAGCAGAGAAAAATGTAAACAGTACATTTTTAGGGAAAGAAGGAATGTCTGTTTCAATCTAACGAAATGTCTGACATAGAATGTAGACTTAAGGAAAAATGGTAAAATATAACATACATGCTATCCCTTTAAGCATTTCTAATAGATTAGGGGCCCAAAATAAATTAGAGGCTCTAATTACAGTTTATATCTGCCAGTTATTTATTAGAAAGATTTACTTTGGTGGATACCATTTTTATGATACCATCTTTACTGCCAACACAGTTTTGAAAAATATAGTCAATTAAATAGGATAATGATTCCCATTGAAGACTGCACCAAAATAGTAAAAAATATATCAGTTGTATTTCATCCAGAACAAAAACAGATTAAATTTACCTCATCCCTGGATGTGGTATTTGGCCCAAATTGCATTTTTGCAGCAGGGTGGAGTTTTGAGATCAAAAACACCAGAAATATTATGCATTTAATGAAAGCCAATCTTCTGGCAACTAAGCTAAGCACTGTTCTGTCCTGTTTCTGAGGAATTTTGGTCATATCCCAGATATCAGAGTATTCTTTATTCTTACAGAACCATAGCCTCAAGAAAAATGAACACTATACCTGCAATAATATTACATTTAAATGCCAATCATGTTTCTTCATTTGCTGAAATTAAAGTACACGTGAATAAACCAACAGAAAACAATATACATTGAAACCCTTCACGTTGAAAATGAACAGCATAGATGTCTTTCCAAAAAAAAGGAAAGGGGATAATCATTGCCTGTCAAGACTAGCAAATCATTAGTGTTTTTAGAGCTAAAAGGAAACTTGGGAAAAAATGTAGTCCCATCTTCTGGTTTCACAAGCAAGGAAACGGGGAATCTAAAAAGTATAACGATTGATCCATAGGCTCACAGCTACTGAAGGATGAAGCCAAGCCCCAGACCCAGGCCTCCCGTGAGTCCTCCATGTTCCATTCTTCCATGCTGTCTGGCTACGGTGCTGTACCGGCCCACCCTCAGGAGAGCGTGCTCCGTGGCTAGGCGTACTCAGCCCCCTCGTTAGGGTTCTGGGGCTGCAGAGAAGAAGCAAGGCAATGCCTGGAAACCTGACTCCAAGTGCCCTGGAGTTTCTTCACAGCTGGTACCAGCTTTATCACCTGGACCCGGATGAGCGTGTGGAAGTTTGGTTTTCTTACAGTTGCACCATTCACTTGTGACACCCTGTGTCAAACACAAATCATGACCATTTTTGTACTGTTACATAATACAAAAGGTTTTCTAAGACACTTAGCTAAAAGTCATCTTTCACTTAAAATCATTTCAACTTTTGGGGTGTTTTTTTTTTTTCCTGAGTAGCAAGATTCACTATATTTGTTCAGGAAAACTCTCCTAACACACTCCCCTTTGTACACTTTTTCCACATCTTTTTGTTTGTTTGTTTTAAATGGTATCTCATCTAATTTTCGCAGATCTTGTCAAATCTATGACAGAGCAATGCTATGAGAGGCAAAGTCAGAACTTTGGTGTAACAAGGGAGCCGTAAAGGCATTTACTAATTGACATGATGCACCTCATCTTGTGATCCAAATTGAACAACCAACCCCCAGACCAGGAGGGTTGATCCTCATGGTGTGAGGCTACTAAAATAAGTGTTGTCTCCACTAATTTCCTGTCCCTGTAGCCTTCAGATGCCTGGTTCCCTTAAGCACCAGCCTGATACTAGGCCCCTCTCTGTCCATGTAGAAAGTAGATCATCCCTATCTAAAAAATAAATTCCTTGTAGAATAAATGTGTCCATTTATTTGATTGTCTTCATTCTACAATAATTTGAAGATTAATAGGTATTAAATAATTTACATTAATATATGCAATTATAAAGAGCAAAGGCCCCCCAAGAGTTACAAGTGAATCCCAATACTGTTGTATAATTGTTCATTTTCCTAGAGCTGATGGATGCAGCATTCAGAAATGCGAGAAGCTGGGCATCTGAGGTAATCATCGCTCTGATTGTTTCAACCCTTGGTTTTGTTTGAGGTCCAAGCATCCAGTTCTGGGAATGGAGGGACTTAAATTATGATACCAGCCTGGCTTCTGTGTGCTTTTACGCAAGTCCCTTCATCATCACATGCACTTGATATCCATGAAGAAAACATAACACCTGCTTTCTTTCAAAAATAACATGTAAGCTTTGGAGAACAATGGGAAGAAAATCTCTGGAACATGGAGCTATTAAGATACAATTGTAAATTCCTAGTTCTACCTATTGCATTTTAATAGAAATTCAAATTTCATAAAAGAAAAACTATTTGTAGAGAAACTGAAGTGACATTTATAAGTTTTCATGTAATGTTTTACAGTTTTGCACATTATAACTCAGTAATAAGTGGAGGGAAAAAGAAACGTCACATATTTTCTCTCATGATATTCCGAGTAGCATATTTTCTTAATAGAATTCTTAGGAGAAATTACTGATCTCTAATTTTATGAAATGACCTTAGCCATAACCCATTATATAAAGGTAATATTTAATTATATTATTATTTCCATATTATTAAAATTATTGACAATAATGACAAATAATTCTTGAGAAAATTCTAGCATAAAACCGTGAAACTTCATTCTCTTTTTTTATGTACTCTTTAGTTATTGTTCTAACAATTCAAAACCCAGACTGATTATTGTGATTCTGGTTAATTCTGTACTTTTCTTCAGTGAAGACTCCACACAATAATAATTGCCAAATCTTTTAACCTGGCAATATATTTTCAAATCCTAAATTGTTTGCAAGTGTGCAAAGTGAGCACTTAATGAATGTACATAAATATCTCAAAAGAAATTACAGCTAATTCAGGCCAACTCAAAAGTAAAGGCCCTAGAGTATCTACACCTGGTGTAAGTTTGAGGTTGAATCACACTGACTGGAGAGAAGGAGGGGAGTTAGTTTTTATAAATATATGGAATCTCTCTTATTGAATTCCATTACTACCATTTATCTAATGTGCCAGATCTTCTACTAAGCCCTGAACATGGAATTTCCTAGCCAGATTTTCATAACTCCTCTATCAATGAAGGTCTAAAGAAGTTCTAAGAGATAAGTCACACAGTACATTAGAGCCAATAGTTAAACAGAGTCTTTCTTACCCCACGATCAAGACTTTAATCTCTCAAAGTAAGTAGGTAGATTGTTGTTATTATTCAGTCATGTCAAGCTCTTTGCAACCCCATGGACTGCAGCATTAGAGGGTCCTCTGTCCTTCAATATCTCTCAGAGCTTGTTAAATTCATGTCCATTGAATCACATCATGGTAAAGAGATGGGGAAACAATGGAAACATTGACAGACTATTTTGGGGGGCTCCAAAATCACTGCAGATGGTGACTACAGCCATGAGATTAAAAGTCATTTGCTTCTTGGAAGAAAAGTTATGACTAACCTAAACAGCATATTAAAAAGCAGAGACATTACGTTGCCAACAAAGGTCCATCTCAGTTCAGTTCAGTCGCTCAGTGGTGTGGGACTCATTGTGACCCCATGAACCGCAGCATGCCAGGCCTCCCTGTCCAACACCAACTCCCAGAGTTTACCCAAACTCATGTCCACTGAGTCGGTGATGCCATCTAACCATCTCATCCTCTGTCATCCCCTTCTCCTCTTCAATCTTTCCTAACATCAGGGTTTTTTCAAATGAGTCAGCTCTTCACATGAGGTGGCCAAAATACTGGAGCTGAACTTCAGCATCAGTCCTTCCAAGGAACACCCAGGACTGATTTCCTTTAGGATGGACTGGTTGGATCTCCTTGCAGTCCAAGGGACTCTCAAGAATCTTCTCCAACATCACAGTTCAAAATCATCAATTCTTCTGCATTCAGCTTTCTTTATAGTCCAACTCTCACAACCACACATGACCATTGGAAAAACCAAAGCCTTGACTAGACAGACCTTTATTGGCAAAGTAACATCTCTGCTTTTTAATCCGCTGTCTAGGTTGGTCATAACTTTCCTCCCAAGGAGTAAACGGCTTTTTATTTCATGGTTGCAGTCACCATCTGCAGGCATTTTGGAGCCCCAAAAAATAAAGTCTGACACTGTTTCCACTGTTTTTCCATCTATTTGCCATGAAGTGATGATACCAGATGCCATGATCTTAGTTTTCTGAATGTTGAGCTTTAAGCCAACTTTTTCACTCTCTTCTTTCACTTTATCCAGAGGTTCTTTAGTTCTTCTTCACTTTCTGCTATAAGGGTGGTGTCATCTGCATATCTGAGGTTATTGATATTTCTCCCAGCAATCTTGATTCCAGCTTGTGCTTCATCCAGCCCAGCGTTTCTCATGATGTACTCTGCATACAAGTTTAATAAGCAGGGTGACAATATACAGCCTTGATGTACTCCTTTTCCTATTTGGAATCAGTCTGTTGTTCCATGTCCAGTTCTAACTGTTGTCTCCTGACCTACATACAGGTTTCTCAGGGGGCAGGTCAGGTGGTCTGGTATTCACATCTCTTTCAGAATTTTCCACAGTTTATTGTGATCCACACAGTCAAAGGCTTTGGAATAGTCAATAAAGCAGAAATAGATGTTTTTCTGGAACTCTCTTGCTTTTTTGATGATCCAGAGGATGTTGGCAATTTGATTTCTGATTCCTCTGCCTTTTCTAAAACCAGCTGGACATCTGGAAGTTCATGGTTCACATACTGTTGAAACCTGGCTTGGAGAATTTTGAGCATTACTTTACTAGCGTGTGAGATGAGTGCAATTGTGCGGTAGTTTGAGCATTCTTTGGCATTTCCTTTCTTTAGGATTGGAGTGAAAACTGACCTTTTCCAGTCCTGTGGCCACTGATGAGTTTTCCAAACTTGTTGGCATAATGAGTTCAGCACTTTCACAGCATCATCTTTCAGGATTTGAAATAGCTCAACTGGAATTCCACCTCCACTAGCTTTGCGGTAGTGAGGCTTTCTAAGGCCCACTTGACTTCACATTCCAGGATGTCTGGACCTAGGTGAGTGATCACACCATCATTATTATCTGGGTCGTGAAGATCTTCTTTGTATAGTTCTTCTGTGTATTCTTGCCACCTCTTCTTAATATCTTCTGTTTCTGTTAGGTCCATACCATTTCTGTTCTGTATTGTGCCCATGTTTGGATGAAATATTCCCTTGGTATCTCTAATTTTCTTGAAAAGATCTCTAGTCTTTCCCATTCTATTGTTTTCCTCTATTTCTTTGCATTCATCACTGAGGAAGGGCTTCTTACTTCTCCTTGCTATTCTTTGGAACTCTGCATTCAAATGGGAATATCTTTCCTTTTCTCCTTTGCTTTTCACTTCCCTTTTTTTCACAGCTATTTGTAAGGCCTCCTCAGACAGCCATTTTGCTTTTTTGCATTTCTTTTTCTCGGGGATGGTCTTGATCCCTGTCTCCAATGTCACGAACCTACATCCATAGTTCTTCAGGCACTCTGTCTATGAGATCTAGTCCTTTAAATCTATTTCTCACTTCTACTGTATAATCATAAGGGATTTGATTTAGGTCATACCTGAATGGTTTAGTGATTTTCCCCACTTTCTTCAACTTAAGTCTGAATTTGGCAATAAGGAGTTCATGATGTGAGCCACAGTCAGCTCCTGGTCTTGTTTTTGCTGACTGTATAGAGCTTCTCCAACTTTGGCTGCAAAGAATATAATCAATCTGATTTCGGTGTTGACCATCTGGTGATGTCCATGTGTAGAGTCTTCTCTTGTGTTGTTGGCAGAGGGTGTTTGCCATGACCAGTGCATTCTCTTGGCAAAACTCTATTAGCCTTTGCCCTGCTTCACTCTGTACTCCAAGGCCAAATTTGCTTGTTACTCCAGGTGTTTCTTGACTTCCTACTTTTGCATTCCAGTCCCCTATAATGAAAAGGACATCTTTTTTGGGTGTTAGTTCTAAAAGGTCTTGCAGGTCTTCATAGATCTGTTCAATTCATCTTCTTCAGCATTACTGGTTGCGGCATAGGCTTGGATTACTGTGATATTGAATGGTTTGCCTTGGAGACAAACAGCGATAATTCTGTCGTTTTTAAGATTGCATCCAAGTACTGCATTTTGGACTCATTTGTTGACCATGATGGCTACTCCATTTCTTCTAAGGGATTCTTGCCCACAGTAGTAGATTTAATGGTCATCTGATTTAAATTCACCCATTCCAGGCCACTTAAATTCGCTGATTCCTAAAATGTGGACATTCACTCTTGCCATCTCCTGTTTGACCACTTCCAATTTGCCTTGATTCATGGACCTAACATTCGAGGTTCCTATGCAATATTGTTCTTTACAGCATCAGACCTTGTTCCATCACCAATCACATCCACAACTGGGTGTTGTTTTTGCTTTGGCTCCATCTCCTCATGATTTCTGGAGTTATTTCTCCACTGATCTCCAGTAGCATATTGGGCACCTACCGACCTGGGGAGTTCATCTTTCAGTTCTGTTCCTTGATAAACTTTAATCACCAGGAGCCGACTGCTACATGAAACATTAGAAAACTGAAAGGTCAATTTCACATGGAACTTTCAGAAGTACAGTGACTCTGAACAGGAGAAAATGTGTTAAATTTCTCTCTACTAATTAGGAAAATGCATATTTAAACAGCAATGTATTATCTGTTTTTTCATCCATCACTTTTGCACGCAAGCGTTACAAACAGAAACAAACTCAGGTGAAGACGTTGCTATTATTTGTGACTGACACCAGGTAAGATTTTTAGAGAAAATTGACACTTTCCGTTTAGAAGGACATTTAACATTTTGCATAGAAAGAAAAAATGTAAATATGTATGAAGGATAATATTTTTTAAATGTTACCCATTTACCCTGTATTTTCTCTCACACTTTTTCTCTTTCTGGGTTATCTCAATCTTTTCCAACAAGAATATATATTGTCAGATTATCCTTCTATAAATTAAAACATTCCAACTAAGAAGTAGATCATAAGGATGCAGTTAGCTGAAATTGTGCCTATTTCTCACTGACTGTATTCTTCTCTAACCATCCTATTTTCTCTTAACTCTCAGGGACTGGGGAAAGGTGTCAGCTTCCTCTTGTCCTGGTGATCTGGGATACTGCTATCCTGTTCCCTCACTGTGACAACACACAAAATCCCACAGCTTCCCCACCACATGTGTTCTAAGTTGAAGGAAAACACTGAATCTGAGGTCCTTGTCTGCTGAAACATACAGTTATCCACAGCAGGATTCATTTGTCTGCCATTCTCATTTTGCCGCTGTGACAAGGCTGGGGGAATCTTGAGATTTCTGACCTACCTGGTGTCCATTCCAAAGCCAGGGCCGCCCAGGCCCTCCAGGGAAAGAGCCCTGTCAGCCTGCTCTCGTGCTCCAGCCCCGCCTCGAAGCTGGCTGCTCTTCCCCCTGCCAGGCTCTGGGGTTTGCGAGGCCCATTCCTTGCTGCCTGACCTCATGTCGTCTGGCTTAACCTCTTTCCGGCTTGCTCCTCCCTGCCTTTGGCCCTCCATGCCCTTGACCACCCTATCTCCAGTGTCTAAAAGATTCTCTTTCCCCGAGAGCTTTCCTGGCCACACGGCCCTGGAGAGCCTGCACACCCTGGTATTCCAGACTGGGAGTTCAGTGACCAGTAAGTTAAACAAACATGAAAACAATGTGGGAAATTGGCAGGAGGCTGCCAAGTGCTGATTTCGCCAAGCAGGCCGTCAAAAACAAGAAATGCCATCTATTATCACCATCATTTTATTAAAGAAAGGCATTTTAACAGTAAAAATGGGAAAAGGTCACCGTCTCAGAAAAATAAAAATGTTTCTCAAAGAACAGTGAGTAAGCAAGCTTGAGGGGAAGGCCAGAAGGAGCAGGGTTGTTAGAAAACAGCCCTTCCTGTTTGTCCAGTACAGAGAACCTTCTTAGAAGCCAGAGCAGCCCACCCATCACAGCTTCCTCACGTCTCAAGGTTATTTGAGTGAGTCTCCCATGCTGCCTAAGCTGAGGAGACATGCTTGACACCCTTCTGTCTTAGAGGATGCCTTCCGTGAGAGCTGGCCATAGGCCACACTGGGCATGTCCTGCAAAATGAAGCTCACCCACACCTGGAGTTTGTTGCCCCTCATCCAAAGGTACCACACAGATTTTTCTTTATGTTCTATTGCCTGGGATACTGTAAGCTCCCCTTGAAAAGAGTCTGGTTGAATTTCTGTCATGCAGAAAGGCTATGGAGGTGTGGGGAACAGCCTGGGCAGGAGAACGTGGGTGAAACAAGAAAGTGGTATATATAGTGCTTATTGTATCGTGGACATAAATCTGTCCATGAAAAGGTTTTTAGGTCAATCACCAGTATGTGCTCCAAAGTGATGCTCTAAAATCCCAAAAGTAGATATTATGTGAACACAATTCTTGAAATGTAAGTCATTTCTTATACCTACTAAAATCCATTTTAACATTCACCTTGATTACTTATGACAAATTCGTTGTAAACTCAAAGCCTGAGTGGCTAAATGAACTTAAAAAAAAAAACTATTTTGATCTAAATTGCTAGCAGTAGAAGTATCCTAACTCTCTCAGTCCTCAGAGTGCCCAATCCCCTAGTTTTTATCAGAAAGTGGTAAAAGGAAGTAGAAGGAATGGACTTAGCTCCATGACCAAAGCTTTAGTTATGAGAATTGGTCAATTTCAATCCATGCAAGAGCATCCAGAAAGGGCAGATTGCCTAGCTGCCCAGATCCTCAAGTACCAATGACATATTAATGATCAGTTTCTACAGTAATATGGTTTATTTGCTCTGGTAACATTTGGTAGCTGACATCTTGCCTTTCAGGCTTCCCTTGTAGCTCAGTGATAAAGAATCCACCTGCCAGTGTAGGAGACACAGGTTCAACCCCTGGGTCAGGAAGATCCCCTGGAGAAAGAAATGGCAACCCACTCAAATATTCTTGTCTAGGAAATCCTGTGGACAGAGGAGCTTGGCGGGCTACAGTCCATGGGGTCTCAAAAGAGTCGGACACAACTTAGCAGCTAAACAACGATATTGCCTTTCACCTAGATTTATTGCTAAATAACACACCAGCCAGAGGGAAATGTAACCAGCAAGTTGGGAATGTGAAACGTGGTGAGGTCAGGACACACACACCCACATGCCCACAGTTCACATGACTTTGCAGTTTCTTCTGTCACAATGACCGTGACTGCCATTTCTATCACCACAATTAGTTAGAATAAAAATTCTTAAAATTTGGTGCACCATTCAGCTATAGAGCTAAGTAGGATTATTTTAAGCTTTCGGCCCAAGTTTTCTAAAATCTAGCTGATTAAGAGGCATTAACATTTATATATTGCCAACACTGATTATACTCATTGCTGGTAAATGTTTATGTGCTAACCAAGACCTAACAAGTGAGATGCATAAAAGCACAGTAAACATATCATTTGTATATAAGGGGTACCAGTCAGTAACTGAAGTATCTGCTTCTGCCTTGGCAAAGGAAGGAAGCTAACGCATGGACTTCAAGGCATCTTCTAGATCTAAGATTTTATGACTTTTGACTAGCAGAAAACCTTTTAGAAGGCATCTACTAAATAACACAATGTTCAAAAACCTTCAAAGGCTGATTATAAATTCTCAGTATTCCATATTCTGTTTAATCTTTTTCCTTTTTATCATGTATCCATTTCTCATTAATACTGTTATGCAAAAAGGAAAGAAAGAGAAATTCCACTAAGTCACATTTGATGAAATTGAAAGTAGAAGTTCTAAGACTATCCACAGAATTTTCAACATACTTAAATTCTCTGAAAATACCTCTTTCTTCAGTGGCATCTGAAGAGTTAGCTATAGTTAAAATTTGATTAGGTTGAAAGATTCCTCGCGAATCCTTTAGGGAAGGAAAATGCTGGCAGAGAGTACAATAAACCTCTCTTGTCAGGGACTCTAACACAGCTAGTAATCTGGATACTAGTGCTGTTTGTGATAGGAATGAAAGCAACCAGTACATTTTTTTTTTTTTTGAAAAGCAAAACCAGAAACCAGAAGCAATGACTTGCAAGTTTGTAGCAAGCTTATCTCCTTCAGTTCAGAAAGAGTTCAGTATTTATTTGCCAACTGTTACTTTTCACAAATGTAGAATTGCATCAACAATTTTCTTGGCATTCTTGACACCATAGGTAAAAGAGCCTCTGAAATTAGCTTTTCAGGTTTTGAAATGGATACAGTGACTTTTAGAAAAATAAAGCATTGGATGACTGTTTGGCTAGCTCATTTAAACTCCATCCCCAGTCATTGCTCCTGATTCCCTAAGTAAGGAAACAGAAAGAAAAATAGTACAGTATGTTCAGAACAGAACAGAAAGTTATTTGGAATAGGGGTTAAATACATACACATTTATTTAAAGTATTGTTTACCACTACCATTCCTACTATTATTAATGTTATACATAAGAGTTAAGTAGTTTACAAAGTGCTCTCACATATTTTTTTTTCCTCATTCTTACATGACCTCTCCAATCCTTGTAGGCAAAATAACAAGTGTTCAGATATATTAGTTTAGCATCCATTAATCATTATGATTACCTCCACTATCAGTAAAGTGAGCACTTACTATTGGCCAAGATCCACATTAAATGTTTTATGTGGATCATCCCACTTAACCCTCACAACAACTCTATGCAATTGGTATTATTATCATCTCAATTTTACAGATGAGAAAACATGGTTGATTGGGGCCTGGAATCTTGGGCTTCTGAGTCCAAGTCCAGTGTTCTTTCCACATTGTTTTAATAATAGAGTTTAAAAAGAACAAAAAGAATGCTAAAGTTTCCAGTTCATTTCGTATCAGTTACTTTCAGACAAAAATAAAGTAAGAAAGGGACCATGAAAAGAAAGTTAAATTTGCAGCCTCTTCCCAAAATAAATACTTACAAAAATGCAGCAGGCAAAAGTATTTGCCAAACTCTTGAGCCTTTGTAAATTGCAATATGTTGCAATCCCACTATACTAGCAGCTAAATGCAAAATTCTACTTTTAAACCTGCTACTGAGCAAAAAACAAACAAAAAAGTTATTTAAAAAGAAAATAAAGAAGACTGTTGAAAAGCCTGACTCTGTAGGGTGGCCTATCTGACTGATAAAACTCTTCAGTTTCCAAACCACCCTAGTTGCAGCTTGGTTGGTCGCTGGCTACATCAGAGTTGTTTTCTACTCAGCAAGCACTTAATGAGTGCCTACTGCATGTTAGATATTGAGGGATACAGTGGTGAAGAGGACATTTATTGTTCCTGCATTTCAGGAGATTATGAACTGAAGGCAAAGGCAGGTAAAAGAGATTAATTCTAGTGTAGTAAGTTCCACAACAGAGGATTTATCCTGGTCTTGGGAATCATCAGAAGCTTCCCTGAAAAAAATAACATTTAGATGAACCTCAATGGAATGTCAAAGACCATCTGATGAAGAAGTGGCATGAGGACCCAGGGAAGAGAGGACCTGGGGAGCAGAAATGCAGTCACTCAGAAACTTGGAAGGGTATCTGCATGAGATGAAGGTTTCCAGAATCTACTCCAGGGTGAAGGTTCAGAGGAGGGGTTATACAGGACTGAAAAGTGTTAGTCACTCAGTCATGGCTACCCCATGAACTGTAGCCCACAAGGCTTCTCTAGCCATGGATTTCTCCAGGCAAGAATATTGGAATGGGTTGCCATTCCCTCCTCCAGGGGATCTTCCCAACCTAGGGATCAAACCCCAGTATCCTGCATTTCAAGCAGATTCTTTACCATCTGAGCCACCAGGGAAGTTACATATATATGTAAATATATTTATGAATATATATAGTCCATCTTTAAAATATTTCTCTTACTTGTTCAAGAATTCCCACACTCAAGAAACTAACCTATAACTCCCTTACTCTGGAAGGAGGACAAAGGAAACACACTGATAGTTTCCCAGCTAATTACAATAGTGGTTTTATTGAAGTCAGGAAAAAAATAGGGTATTCACTTAAATGGATGTGAGAAGATAAAATGGAAATAGAAAAAGAAAAATGACTTGGGTAGGGATGTAAATATAGAAGGAATACCCCAAATGAAATAGAATCAAAGTAATGAAAATTTAAAATTTCAATTAGATGAGTCTTCAGTTACCTTCACCTGGCCTAAAAATTCCACAGCTTCTTATTCATTATTCCCAATTTATACCACACTCAATACTGCAAGAGAAGACTATAGAGTGCAACAGACTTACTTTCCTACGTTCTGCTTAGGTTTGTTAAGCTTGTGAACAAAAAGTGAATTTACACTTGAACTCTTGATTCTTTCCTTTTACTTCATGAGTTAGCTCCCTGATTTTTAACACTCACGTGAGTCTTAGGTAGGGATTGCTAAGGACACCAACTAACAAAATAAGAAAGCACCCCAAAGAGTACTAGGGAAAGAGGAAAATGACAGTTTTCCAGAGGTAATTCATGTTCTAAA